AACACAAGTTTTTTTTGTTTTTTTAATATAAAAAGATATAATTATTATGTTTATATAACATGTCAAATAATTTTAAAACTTGACTCGTCTTAATTTACGTTGGCAAGTCATATTTTCATTACAAAACCTGACTCAAACTTACTATTTTAGATATCATTAAATTTTTTATAACCAATAACTAACTGAAAAGAAATATATTGAACAAAATATAAATTACATCTACGTGTTTTGCCTACCAGTTGGTAGACAGTAAATAATCGTTTATCAAACAGACAGCGAACGGCCGAATGTTTATACAAAAAGGTTCCTTCATACATTTGTAAATTTTATGTCTTTTGTTGTTTTCATTACTCAAAAATACAAGCTGTTTTATTTTCTTTTTTTTATCCACCGATGCAACGTATTAGAAAAACAAATATTAAATATAGAGCCGGTTTGCTTGTGATTTAAAAACATTTCTTTTTGAATTTGAATTACAATTTTTGAGCTATGAAGCATAAATCTCAGGCTGTGATGTGGGGTAAGTTTTTAATTATTCCCATAAAATCTACTCGTTTAACGCTCAGAATATAAACATTGAATATTTTTTTGCCCACGGTGGCTTAAAGCAAGTTTATTACAAAACCAAAAGAAGTAAAATTTTCTTTAACATAATTTACATAAAACTTATAAAATATATAATATATTTTTGTTTTAGTAAAAGTCCGGTAAAGCATTTGCATTGGTTATAAACGTTCCTTGTGATCTATTTCCATACCTGCTTATTAAGTATGGTATTCATAATAATAGCTTCTATTCGAGTCTTCGTGTACAGGAAAATTGGAGTTGGCTGCAGAGAGAGGCAAATTATAGTGGCTCGATATCAAAAAAAAATGTCATCGCAATTGATACAATAGTGTTTCATCTAGTTTATCTAAAGGACCTGAACTTATTCAAGATTATGTTGTTTGTTTCAGTCTCTGTTTGCATACGATTCTTTAAAAATAAAATACTTTTCTTTTTTGTAAACTATTTCCACTAGTATATAATTCAATACATTTCTGTTCTTTATTTATAAATATCATGGGAATCTATGTTAAATCCTTTTTATTAATTATGAATGTATAACAAGGTTTGGAGCTTTGAGCAACTGTTTGCAACACAGATTGTGAGCAACACTTGAATTCAAACTTTTACGCGATATTTATATAGTTCAAAATTCTTTATTATGATTTTTTCCTCATTAACTTCCTTAGTTTAAGGGAAAATGACCAACAAGTAAGTTTATAGAAACTATTGATATAAGAAAGACACGATAAAGACGTGAAACAAAATATGTTCATTATAGAATAACACGCACTTGGAATCTTCAGGAAAGTTTTGTCTTTTCATATCAAACAAGTTCGGATTTAATAGGCAATAAAAAAAGCATAAGTAATTACAAACTTTTTTCGATCGAATAAACATAATACAATATTAGGAATATATTATTTACATATAGATATTCACGAAGGCAAATTCACGACCTTTATAAGTTGTCATTTTGAAATGTAATACAATTTTAAAATTCGCTATACCCCAAACATTTCCTGGACAACATGACATAAATATTTCGAGCATAAAAAAAACCTTTTTTTCATAAATGATATTGAAATTCATTTATAAATATTTGCATAAAACAGATAAATAAAACTTTACAACGAGGCGCGTCTGGTTGTCCACTGATAAAGGGTATAAATTAAATCATGTAATTTATGCTCGCGTTACAAAATGTATTTTATAAAACACCGAGTGGTTGGTGGTTTTACGCCTGTATTCAAGGCCAATGTGACTAGAGGTTTACGGTGAGCAACCAGGAGTGTATTGACCATACCTTCCCTTATCTTACAGACAATGGAGACAGTTGTAATGTTACTTAGAACACACACTTCTACTACAATGTATGTAGAAAGTATTATATCAAAAACATGGTTAAGGGAAGCTTTAGAGTCCACTGAAAATCTTATTTTTAATGTTTTCGCCACAATATAACCTGTTTTCTTTAATATATTAATAAATATATCCTTTAATCAACCTTTACTAGTCAATGCAAATTTTTTATTAAACATATTACTTATATTATTATATCCGTGCAATTATATTTAAAGCCAACTGCAAAAAAGAAGGTTTCTTAATATTGTATGTATGTTTATTTACCACTTCTACTAAACCTCATCGTTACCTATAATATAAATAACTTAATTTAGAATCGGTTGATAAAAAATTGCCTATTGAATATAAATTATAAGCTGTTTTTGAACCAGCTAATCTTATCTCACATCCCATCACCAAAAGCTATCTACAGAGCTGTCTCCGTAATATTCTGCGGTGACAGCAGTTTGTTTGTGAGCAAATTGTCAATAAGCTTCATAAAGATTAGAATTCATTTTAATATACATCGAGGATTTTAAAGATATTTTATTATTATTTTATACATTTAACTTCAGTTATTACATTTTTTACTTAAATCTTAGTTTATGAGAAAATAAATATTTTAAGTTGATTAATACATAGTTTTATTCAATCAATATTTTCAAATCTATAACTTATATTTTAATTTCCTAAAATCATGTAGTAATGCCGAGGGTAATTTTATAATTACTTTTTTGTCTAATTTTAAGATTATCAGATACATTTAAATTTTCAGATACATTTAATTCATAATAAAAGTGAGATTATTTCCTTCTAACATATACATATAAAAAAAGTATATAAAATAAGGAGTAGACTATATAATTTAGTTTTGAATTCTTGTCACGAACTTGGTAGGATAGTAACATCCTCTAACAGAGGATCGATGTGATGAAACTAGGAGAGTTGAGTCTTGAAGCGTTAACAGCCGAAAGTTTTAAATTCCATTTACAATATTACTTGTTCTGAAAAATACTTAAAACAAATAAAAACAGAGGACTATAATTTACACCCATTAAAAAATAAATAATATGTAAAAAAAACCTACAAAAAAACACGCTCTTATAACGGAACTAAAGAATTGAAAATAATTTTAAATTACAAAGAAATATATATATTACAGTATTAGTTTAAACGATCATTACCCTCTAAATAAAAATATAATAAAATTTTAATTATTAACAGAAAAAATAATTCATAGCAAAAAGTTTAGGGTGCTTAATATAGAATGTTAGAATCAAAATGAAATATAGGAAAGATATGAAATGCATCCCACACGCTTTACATACATACATACAACCCAAGCTAATAAAAGAAAAATAATATCATACAATTATTGAGCACACTCTCCAAAATAAAATTCCAAGAGGTAACATATTTTTCGTTGCACTCTATTTAATCTTGGCTGACCCAAAAACCACCTCATGAAACTTAACAACTGCGAAATCAAATGCATAACCACAAACAATTGGTACATATGTATGTACTATTGGTATATATCAAGTTGTTAACTTTAAATTAACCAAACTCAGTCACAAACTCTAAAAAACACCTTCTTTGACGAACATTGACTCATATTGAAACGAACACAGTGTTTTAAAACTATTTTTGATCACATTTTTCTATTTCTTTTAATTTATTTAATGGAAATATTATGTGTTTGAATATTCAAGTTTATAAAATAATTAAAAAAAATACGAAACATCTTAAAGGAAAATAACTCAGTAGAATAAAAATGTATTATCGTAGAGACAAACTAATTTATAATACTATATAATGTGAGCACTAACAAGATTATTATGACGTTCAAATAGATTAAGAAAAATATCACAGAGATGATGTTAAAATAACATATGAACTTATAAAGTATTAACTATACGTTTCACGTAATATTGTAATCTGATAATAGTTTACCCATATTTGTAATTTACAAACATGACTTTGTTATATTCTTATGTGAAATAATTTATTTTCTTATAAATCAGTTGTGTAATCTTTTTCGAAGAGAGGCATACAAATAGATCTAAAAATATCCTTACAAAATTATGCATTTCTAGCGACACACCAATGACTAAAACCTTATACTTAATGTTTAGAAAGAAGTTTTATACTCGGATTTTGCCTTTTCATAGATTAAACGTATGTCTCCTATGTTTGTGTGTTATAATATTTTCTCAAAGTGACTTTAGTCACAGCTGTTAAACTTTATCACATTTACAAGTTAATCCTAGATCGTGTCTCCTCAACTCTACACGACACTGGCAGAATGTACTGTACATGGCTTTGCATGAATGAAGACAGCATTTATAACAACTAACCAACCAACATTCTAAGAAATAGATTAGAACTTGATATGAACAATATGTAAGGATTAAATTTAAATTGTTATAAATAAAATTATTGCATTAAGAGTCTAACAAAATGGAATAGTTTCAAAATATTTCTAAATATTGAAAATAAAATCACGTTAAAGTTTTTACTTGTGTCGGTATTCTCAGTAATTCGCTATTTTTTCATGTTCTTTCGATTGTTTACATATACGTAATAAGTAATGAATAAAAAAAATTTTTCCTCGATCATTGAAATAAACCAGTCACTACCGTAGTAGTAGTACCAAAGTTTATTTTTTGATTGCTCGCATAAAGTGTAGTTTTAAACGAAATTTGAATTCAGGGGTAATATTTTATACAAGCATTTTAACTAGTTTTCCAGTCCCTATCTGAAAATGTCATCTGGTATATTCGGTCGGATAGCGAAAAGCTATTTAGAATTATGCATGAGTTTGGCATTGTCTATCAGAAGAGGACATTTGATTTTGAATAGCGCTTTTTATGTTGGTACCAATAACTAGAAACGACAATAGAGGTTTTAAAAAAAAGTTTTTTTCTTTTTGATATTCTTTTATAACCAAAATGAGGTAGAAATAAGTTATTTTATATAAAAAATGTTAGTTTCTCTTAAGTATTATGAAAACCTATCGCGTTATAAAATGTTTTATGATTCTACATATAAATATTTTTATGATCAAATCAATTTCCCCAAATCATTCTACAATGTAAAATGTTTCTAAGATGAAGTTTAGTTGTTATTTTATTCTGATATTTCAAACAATTGTCACTATAAGGACGTTCACCAATGCCATACAACCGTTAAACGAACCAGGTAAAGACTATTATGACCAATATGGAATCAGAGACAACGGGATTTTCAATCAAAGGCAGGAAGAAAAAACGCACCCAAAAGATGCCGAACTCGCCCAGAAAAAAGCTGAGGTCATTCAAAGAGCTAAAGCATACGAGAAGCAATTTGATGAACTTTTGTCTAGAATGGTCCTAGAACCAGAAAATACACAAAGATATCGAAGGGACCCTGTCTTAAATATGATCAGAAGGAGACATAAACTAACAAGGAGAAAGAAAGATTCCAGCGTCTCAACGGATACAGTAAGCTCGAGTTCCAGTTTGGAAATTCCTAAATGGAAGGAAGAGTGGAAGGAGCATTGGCTGCATAAAAAGTTGGACGCTATCAACCATTCCTTGCCCAAAGGAGATATCGTCAATATGGTAGCAGCAAGTAAGTTAAGAATTAGGGTGAAAATCAGTCATATCCATACAATTCCTACCATTTACTCTTACTCTCCCACTACCAAGGTCGGCAACAAATTATTATTCATCAACATTTGCAACATTCTTTATGTTGCAGATGTACATGATTTACCTTCCATGAGGTAGACAGTCTGCTCGTTTTCCGGACTTTGATATAAAATATCTACACATATATTACCTACATTTACCTAAATTTTTTCTTCCACACTCATATCAAAATATGTATTTTTACGTTTTTTTTTTTTATTTTTAAAGTTGGTTTAATACTTGGTATTCGATCGGTATTGTACTGAGCTAACCGGATGAGGGAGAGTTAGCAGATATCTATTTCAAAACCATATCCAACATACTAGTTTTCGCTTGCCATAATATATTATCAGTTACTTTATTTAGCTACATGATTGTTATTTCAAAAGTTCTGATTATCTTTCCATTTATGTCTACTCCTCCTAATTTTTCTTTTCGCTATTGCTGTGATGTACTTATTTCAATGAATAAAAAAATCAAATTAACTAAAATTAAAGTTATTCTTGGGTCACTTGACATACTCGGGAACTTCACAAAGATAGGTTACGTTTAACACTCTGTTTATCTACAATTACAAAATGGATAGTATTATTTATTTTGATATCTATAAAAGTGGGAAAATATATATTAAATTTTGTTATATTTCTATAACGTATATATTGTTCATCTTTCTTAGGACCATGGGGTGTTCCTTGTGGAGATCCCAATCAGTTTGACTTACCTTGGGGATCCTGTATGCTACCCATGGAATGTGAGGCTGAATACAGAATCTACCGCGGTGACTACTTTTGCGGCCGTACCAAGTTTATCTGTTGCGCTCTGCAAATAACAAACTATGATCTATATGGAGGCTTTGATGTATCCTTCGCTGACTCCAGCTTAGCAACAGACTCAGAAGAGAAGAGAAATAAAGACAGAGGTTCCAAAGAAAGGAAAAGAAGGAAGCGGATAGGTGAAAGGAAGAAAAGATTGAGGCAAAGGATGAAACGTAAAAGAAGAATTAAGAGAACAATAAGAAGAATCATACGAGAAATTAGAAAGATTCTAAACAGATCATTCAGAAATGGAACAACAGCGAGAAAGAGGAAGACAAAACAATTAAAGAAATTCATAAAAGATATGAAGAAACAATATATAAAGGAAAGGAAAGCTGTTAAAGATATACACGAGATGGAATTGATAAAGATAGACGCCGCCTTACAGAAGCGTCTGACCGAGATAAGAGGTGTCAATCAGGAGTTTATCAAAAACTCTACATTCAGAGATATAGTAGTAAATGGTACAATAAATAAACAAAACGCAAGGATTTTAATGGATGCCTATCCGGAATTGAAGGAATTCCTTCAAACTAGACGCAAGGGAGTGGGGGAAAACCCTCGAGACCATCTCGACTATGACATCGAATATGGTTACCTGTATTATTAAAATTAAATTTAACTTTACTATATACTGATTTTAACTTTATATTCAAGACATTTTCCCAGTATTAAACAAAATACATATGTCAAAGTATGTATTGCAAAAATAAACTTCTAAAACAAATAGTGCAATATCTTAGAACAATGTATCTATGTCATTGTACATCAACTACTGGCAACATTGTATTGGATTGTTGCCAGTAACCGCTTGTACTACTAAAAAGTTTACCATTTAATCATGCATGATACAGATATTTGGCAACACTGAGGTTGTAGTATTCAATTTATTGGTGTTATATCAAGTTGGAAGGTGAAAAATTTTGATATTATGTATTTTATTAAGTTTATAAATTCTTCTCAAGTTTATTATAAATTTGAAGATATAGTAATTTGTTCCTTTCTTTATGGTTTCTCTTTAATAATAATTTATCTGTTGATATTAATTTTATGTATAAGATTGGACATAGAAGAGCTCTATGATAGCCTTCGTGACGGTACTAATGGCAATCTACATATGTTCTGTGAAAGTAAATTTTTCAAAAGGTACGAACAACCAACCCGTTCGAGGGTTAGGCGTTATGATTTAAAGTTTTAACCCATACTCGTTCAATAGAAATTGCTTAAAAATGCATAAAAAGGTATATACATATAATTTTGGCGTCACCACATTCAAAACAAAGTTCAGAACGGTTCTTTAACTTTACACTGAGTATTTTGATGAACTTTCTAATCCCATCAATCTTCTTGTTATCACTTACCTCAATAAGCGTAAATGTCAAAAATAATATGTCATTTAATTAGAACAAAAATACGTCAAATATTTATAATTCTGTCAAAAGTTGACAGAAAACAAACACATATTATCAATTTTATATTTCTACTCTTTTTAAAATATAAAAATAGATAAAGTAAGAAGATAAAGTGGATAGTTTAAAAAATTACATTCAATTTATCTACATGACATTGCTTTTCAGATACAATTAAGGTTGATTGAGATAAACAGTCGGAGAATAGACAATTAATACTTAAGGACTTTACAATAAAAAATTACAAAATAAAAATGATATGAATACGAAGTATATTTTAAGTATAAATTATGAAATGTAAACAACTTTTTTTATGTAAAATATTTTTGTGATGAAGCTTTACACTAGTATTTCTCATTCCAGTTATTTCACGTTTATAAGAACATTTGCCATTGCATATATTAGGCTTATAATTAAGTAAAAATCATATGAAAAGAAAAGGAGAACAATATATTATAATTATATCGACATTGATTAGAAAGCACAGACAAATTACAGACACCTTATAGAATAATCTGGTAGGTCGAAGACAAAAGCATACAAATGAATCAAATTTAACACATTTTAAATGCGATATAAAGGGAATATTTGCTAAAAAATTATAGAGTTTAACATAACAACAATTACTTCTACTAGAAGTATGTAAGATTTAGTAATTTTCTAAGAGAAAATTAATACGGACCATTCATTATATAAAACTTTGATGCCATTAATCATCGTGTGCAATACATGCTAGAAACAAGTAAATCACATTTGAAAACGTATGCATATAATATGTATAAGCATGCATATTGTATTTATAATAATTTTATTTATTTTAATACCTTAACTCTTTTGGACAACGGGTCGCTATATATAAAGACTCGAAACAGATGTTATGCTGTTCATAAAATTTAAGATAGGTACGGCCTTTGAGGCCCTTATCTAACGCGCATTAATTGCTCACCTCCACCGTCCAAGCTCCTCTCTCTACCTAACAAATTGAAAACGAACTTTAGAAACCTATCTTCGAAGTACGTTCCATAAACGAATTGACATTACTCTTAGATCGGCACAAGTTTTTTAAGAGGTTGTAGAGGTATTTGGCTATTATACATCTCGATCCTACTTCAACCGCGTACAAATTCACGACGAACCTATTCCTAGCGAGTTCGTTAATTAGCTCGTAATACTCATTGACCTTGATGGCATGATCTTTTTGGATGTCGTTTTCCCAAGGAACCGTAAGCTCTATTATCACAACGCGCTTTAAAATTCGCGAATATAGAAATATGTCTGGTCCGGATCCTGGCGCTGGGCGCACAAATTTTATCTGAGATTTAATATTGTTTCTCAAATCCATCATTATATTCCAATCCAAAGGCGCTTTAACGATAGAATAATAAATGAAATGTAAATAGTGCTAAGCTTAGAAATACAAAGTATTCCGAGACTTGAATTATTATTAACAATATATATACATACACTAAATACCTTTTTTAAATGCAAGATTAAACGTAAGTTTAAAGCATACAAAAATAATCAAGTGTTTTAATTCATTGGCAATTGATTTGATGTTTTTAAAACATATATAACTTATTTTTAGATATTTCGTTGAGCCTCAATTTGTTTACAATATATAAAAGGAGTTGGATATAGGAAAGTCAATCATATGAAGGTTCAGAATATAAAAATATTCAAACCACATAGAGATTTTACTAAGTAATTCTTTAGATTTATTTTAAGCATTCCGTTACTGTAAGGGTTTGAAAACCTAGCTACGATTGTTATTTCACTTACATTAGAGAAACGAAATGATTTACATATACAGTTACTGAAAAAAGGCTTACGTTTCTCAAAATTTTGAGTAATGAAATCATACTGTTTTGTAGACAGAATTAAATACTTGCAAAAATACTTAGATATCATTTCGGAACCAAAAGGGTAGGTATAATTCAGGAAGCTTGTTCAAAGAGACATAGTGTATGAGGCAGTGTACATAATATGTACGTAAATAATAAATATGTATATATGACATTACATTACTTTTTATAACCACAGTCCACAGATTATGAAAAGCGATATTGATACTAAGATCAATTTGGGAGTCTGTTGATATTAAAAATTCTGAAGTAGTGCTATTTTTAGGACATATTTATTTTTTGAGTACAACATTTTTTTAATTTTTCATTTTATAGATTCTATCTATTGTTGAAGCACAGCGGTATTGCTTACTTAATCTTATAGTTCTAGGTTACAAAGAAGTATCCTATATATTTTCATTCTCTCGAGGTTCGAAATATATTATGTTTTTTGCGCCATCAATTGCCGTATAAATTTTTTACGTTCACTTAGATGCTTGATTGCTAACTTGTATTAAAGAATTCTTGATATATATTTTATATATTTAAATTTTATAGAGATGTGGAATTATAGATCTATTTTTTTTTGATGACGAAAGTCGCAGTTTATTATCAATTAACAAATTATGAAAAGTATTAAAACCGTCATTGGAAAAATATTTCAAAAATACTAAATGTTGCCATAGTACCAATTGATTTTATTTCTATTGTTTGATATATTAACTATTTTTTTAGTTATTTATAAAAAAAAAATATACGTCACTGATAACTTTTAAAAATCTTTGTTTAAAACTGTTTTTAAATAATATACTCACAATATGTTTTAGACAAGAGCCAGGTGTCTATGAAGTAAGAAATTAAAATAAAAACTTCAGTAGTTTTCTTTAGTGATGCCATAACTATAGAAGACCATTATTATAGTTAATAGAAGATTAAATTTCCAACTCATATACTCATTTCTATTTGAATATATCCTTTGGTTATGAAATACTTTATCTATGTATATTCGATGAAGTGTAGAAATATAAATCCTACTAGTTTCAATAATAATATTAAATCGAAAATATGTAAGAAGGGATGGATTTATGGATGTATGAATAATGGATTTAAGATTTACATGAGTAGAACATATTAAATAAATGTATATTTTACTCGCTTGGTTATATTGACAAAACTGAAAAAAGTTTTTACATATTATGTACTTCAAAAGAATAAAAATGTGATAATATTAATTGACATTCAATTGTTTTTTTTATCTCTGGCTTTATAATGTCAAATGTTAATTGGTATGGTAATTTTATTAATGAATGGATGTGAATCTATGGCTGTAATTGTATACATAATAGTTGCTAGCAAAAATAATAGGTTTATTATATGTAATGATACTACGAGTATACACCAGTCAGTCATTGTTTTTCTTTCGGGAAGCGATTTATCATTTTACCCACTAAACCCCAACAGTAACCCTGATCGCTTTTGTAGCCACCACGCGGTCGTTAGCCCATTCGACCATGACACGCTGGTGGAATTTTCCAAACCTCTATTTAGAGTGCTCCGAGTACTAGAGAGGACTCTACTCCAAGTACTAGCGAGCGCTATTACGATATAAATCTATGTGGAGCGATGTGGAGCTATTGACCCCAAACCCCTCTCGCCCAAACTCTACCAACTATCTTAGGAGGGTATAATTCTTTCTCTGTCAACCCGGTTAATATATTCAGTCTCTGAAGCAGATCAGCGTCGAAAGCAGACTCTCTTTGTTGGACAGACTGGAAGCAGCCAGTCATAATATGTAGAGCCACACCGGTCTACAGAATAACTAAAATTATCATGGCGTTGTCGGTATTAACATTTGTAAGGTGATAAAGTGAGATTTTTATGTAACATGTATTATTAAATTAGCATCAAGGATTATAAGATCTATTAAGGATAATAGTTCCTAATATTGTGTTATCGTTTTTGCTGCTCTTGAAGCTTGAACGCTCTTCAACAAAAAATTAATGTTTGGAAGACTAAGAGACCTTAGTGTTTTTCTAACATTTTCTTTAAAAGATATAAAATATGAACCGAAATATGGAGCAAAATGTTTATATAATTATAACAGGAGTTATTATTTGAATAAAAATTGAAGTGTTAACCTAAGTAAATATTACGAGGCAGAATATTTAATTTAGAAAACGACATTATTTTTGAAAAGTTTGTCTAAGTCTTTTACTGACTGCTAATTAGTAATTAGCTAGAACTTAATTAGTTTCCATATTTCTTTAAATTTAGTAGTAAAATTATTCTACTATAGGATAAACCAAAAGAAAAATATTCTTTATATGTCATATTTATTAAATTTAATAAACTTGAATTTG